GAGAAAAAGTAGTCCTTCATCCCCTAACCCCGCGAAGCGATCTACAACTACCTCATGAGATGGTCAGAGACGGTCAGATCTATACAGGCCGTGCGTTTCGCATGAATTCTCGCGGCGGAAATGGTCGGGGGGGAGAGCAAGCACACTGGATGCCGATCGTGAGGACTAAGCGCACGAAACTGCGACAGCAAGAATCGACCTCGGGAACCGTTTCCTGAGCGGAAAAGTCGCTGGTATGCCCAGACGGCCATTGTTTAATCCCTCCGTCCCCCTGGACTTTCTCTGAATTGCCGACCGTTCACCACACTCCCGCGAGCATGTTGAGTGGTGGTACCCGGAAGTCGGAGCCTGAGGCATCAAAGTCAGGTGACCTCGCCGCACCGTCGTCGAGTCCCTGAATACCATCACACTCACCACTCATCACAGGACAGTTCGCGAATTCTGATGAGGCCATGGACTAGATGAAAGGTCAAATGATCGAGGTGGATGACTGATGATCTAGCTAAGATGAAGCTATTCAGAGATGAATCTCAGGATAGCTGTGGACGGAGCAAGCCAAAGGGGAAGGCGGTGCCAGCCGGCATTACCTTTCATCCCAAACAGCATGTGTAGACCTCACTGCATCGACCTGGCCCCCTTGTCCCGCCACACTACATCTCCCATCTTGCGCTAAGATTCCCCGAGCGAACGTGCCTCCCCGAGTCCTTTCAGGCCCCTACACTTGGCCAGTCCGCGCCGACCCTGACCATCCCAGGTCCCCGTTCAGTGCAACCCGGAATCCATGATAAAAGTCGGAGAGCCGTCTGCAGCCCAAGAGGCGGATGCAGGAATTAAGAAGGAAAATGGAGCAACAAGGGCAGGGAGCACAGACAACGCAGACTTGGTCGCCAACATGGAATCAAGTCTATCCGCATAGTTAATGCGCTACAGGCTGGAGATAGACGTGGGTCTCCAAGCAGCTGGCAACCACCTGCTTAGTGATGTTGCTGCTTATACGCTGAAGCTGAGAACTTACCCACTACAGCAGCCCTGGAGTGTGCTCCAAGCTCAGGAGGGATTGTACAATAAGCTGGATTTAACGTTGTCTACCCAACTCCGCCACCCTGGGATACAGAGGAGGTCAATGGGTCCACAGCCAAACACGAAGACAAAATGGAAGGGACGGCATATGAAGAAGACATCGGAGGCTAAGGCTGAGTGGGAATCAGTTACACAGGAGAAGCAATGTATGGAAGAGGAGAAGGAGAGTATCAGGAGTACCTTAAAATAGCTTTAGAATGTCCCTGCCTTGAAGCGTGAGTATGGCCATAAGAAAACAAAAGATTGCTTTGTTCTTTATAACTATTTATCTGGCGATATGATATGTAGGTAAAGCTCTTATATGTAATGTGGGAACTACACCAACTAGATAGACTTGCCTCCACGGCCCAGACCAACATTGCGTTGCATGTGCCACCCACCCTGCACCCTTTAGAGCGTAAATAAGAATACAACCACAACATTGTGGCAGCAAATAAGCGAGGGCTTGACCTTGCTGAAGAAGGCAAAGTAGGTCCGTCACGCTGCGTAACACAAACAACAAGGTGTCTACCACCAACGTTGACACCTCAGCGGAGGCAGCAGATCCAACAATTAGCCATCAACACTCATGAAAAACCTCTCCCTTCAATCTGCCGACACCAACTGCAGCTGCAGCCGCATGGAACCCCGTGTATTCCGCCCAATATCTCAATCTTCTCTCTCGATGTGAATCGGCTCGCGGAGGTATGGTCCGGTCTTGGAAATCGCCAGGGAGCTCGGGTATGGCAAGGCGAAGCGCGACGATTCAATGGGCTAACGCGTTCAAGGTTTATGTCATCGATGATTGATTTTGCCCGGGACGGAGTGGCGCTTGGGGCTGGGGTTGAATTCAGATGCGGTCTGCCGCTGATCGACGGGATGCGTCACATCGCCAGGATCATGGCAGAGACTGGAACGCATGTCCATTCCGGCATTCGGAAGCCTCCAAGTCGTCGCTCTATGTGCAACATATCTGGCGTATCCGACAAGGGACTAACCGGTCCGAGATTCACGGTGGGATTTGTTGGCGACGGGAAGCAGGGGGAGGGTAAGTATTCCTTCGATACGCGCGACTCGGGCCTGTATATCGGAATCAACCCCGTGACTGATTCAATTTGTGCAGGAGGAGCTGTGGGTGACAGTTCGGTGTCAGCTTCAAGATGGTCTCACGGGGCCGCCGGGGGGACCTGGGAGCATCACCGATGGCCGAGCGAGAAATGGGGGTGCGGGGGACAAACCCGTGGACGGGGGAGCGCGAGGGCGGAAAAAGGTAGTCGACCGATAGCAGTGGCATTATCTGGTACTGTCCCCAAAATTGTTCTAAGTATTTGCGTTGACAGGAGAGCGCGCGGCGCGTTTGAGAGCTTGTTGGGCATCGTTGTTTGTGCAGATGGACGCGGCAAAAGGGCGTTGTCCTGCGCATAATGGGCTCAACCAATGACATCAGAGGCAAGATGCGCTTTTCATGGCCTGAACGACGAAGATGGGAAGGAGACAAGATGGAGCAATGTTGGAGAACTTGGAGTTCTGGGAGAAAAGAATTACTAAGATGTGGCTTGCTGGCTGGGCACGGCTGGGGTCGGGTATGGATGGATCACCGCCTCCAAGAACCACCCCGTGATATCTGCAGCTGGAGAGCTTCGTGAATCGTGATAGGAAAGCTTGACAGAGTCCCAGACAACGCACTCAGGAACAGTTGGGGATCAAGGGCTCCTCCAAGATCCAACTCACTGCGTTTTTGAAGCCTCAAGGGGTATCAGATCGACTTCCTCCGATATAGGCACTTCTCCTTTGAGATAAGCCGTTCTCGATACGGTTGCGAGCATTCGAATACGTTAAGGCTGCGTCTAATAATGGATGGATTCTTCCTGTTCTTCAGAGAATCTCTCTGTCAGCCGGAAAACTCTGACCCTCGGACGCGCGCCTAGCAGCCACATAGCCATGAGCTACTTTTCTTCTCATCAACCTGATTCTAAAGTTTGTCTGAGTCACCCGGGCTGTTCTTTGGGCTCATTCCGGTCTCCCCGCACTTCACGAACATTTCCAAGGTTTCTTGCTCGGCATCCCCATCGCCACCTACCTGGGCAACATGGTAGCTTGCTCACGACCAGCACCCAAATCCCGAGCACGACGAACGCCCTTATCGATGTTAGTAAATGCGCCCGGCACCGAAACATGCCATGTGCTCGTCCTGCCACGTCTGTCAGCTTTCACTCTTCAAGCACGGGGCGAGCGAGCCAGCTTCCCACAACCCCAACGATCCCTCGAAATCGGAATATATCTTCATATGCCCATGGCGTCATGTCGCGGTGTCCAACCAAGTCCTCCGTATGGCGCTCGTTGATATCCTCCTCCACCTGCCCGTGCCGGTGCGGCCATCGGTCCCGACCATAACACAGCAGCGCTTTTGATCCCTTCGCAACGAAGCCAAAATCCATACTCTCCGCATCACGGCGATAAAGCCGAAGGCGATTATGATGGCTCCATGTGGAGCTCATCCTTGCCCGTGTCGCGGGAGTTCTGTCCGCATCGCGATTCCGCCTCTCAGTGCCCGATCCCACCCGACCCCTCGATTACTGGAACCAACAAAGTCTTCCAAGGACAAGGTGCATTTCCTTGCAACAGCTATATGTTTCCAATGGGACTGACTGCTTGAATTAGGGCTTGCTCGCGCCGTTCATGCCTTCCTCCCTCCGATCCCCACCAGACGCAATGCTCGAGATAAACTGGTACACAGACTGTTCTCCGCGGCTTGACCTACGCATTCAGGCCAACGGAGAACGGACAGCTACGCCATCAAGCACTTGTAGTGGCTCAAGATGCGACTGGCACCATTAGGGTCGGGGTTCTTCAATGGTAGTCTCCATGCTCTCCGCGGACAGTTGGTTGGTGGCATTAAAATTGGTTTTCGGAGAGCCTTATTCCCTCTTTACCTCTCTTGATCTGTTCCTCTTTCTGGCTATCCTGCGTTGAGGTTGTGTGCTTGCACTCTGATTGAGATAGGGCTAACAGATTCTCTTAAGCCTTCAATGTCGCCAACATATCCTCTCCTTGGCGGCAACAACCGCCCCCAGCGCACCCTTAGTAGTCAATCTTTCTGGCATACAAACATTTGGATTGGGAGGCACACCGAGAACCAGTGTCAATGTCTGGCCAGCATCTTTGCTTCACCTGCCTCCTCACAAACACCTGATTTCCCAGTGGTGATCATGTCTGGTTAAAGGAGGCTGAACTTCCACAAATCTGCATGCTAACAGTATCAAGACCGCAGGGCCCCAGTAACAAAAGCCCCTTGAAAGGGCTAAAGCAGGATGGCATGCTTTACCATTTAGAAAGGCCTGATGATCCCACTTCTGCACCCGGATTATCAGCAGTGTCTCAGATTGGAAAAATACAGCAGAGCACACCGGAACACACCCTGCGAATTGTGAGGACATATCAGGCAACCATACTCTGGGGGAAAGGCTGTCAAGGGAGCACTGATCACTTGCCCTAGGTATTGAGGTATTGAAGCTCGGAGCTCCATCCCAACATCTCGCAGATGATCCCGCCGCTACTTTATTTGTAAAGCCATCTTGCTTGGAGTGATATTCAATGTGAAGCTTCCAAGGTTCAGCTTGAGATGAACCTCCCCGCGCTCATTATTCTTTGACGCATGTTTGTTGAAATGATCCTGTCATCGCCCTTCATCATTCATCAGATCAACGTGTCATCTACTAAGGATAGTTCCCATACAAAGAATGGTCAATACTTCAATGCAGGGAGTTAACATTGCCTGACTGAATTGCCGAGCCACGGCCTAAAGTGATTTCCCAAAAGTACTTGGATTACCATGGATGGTATCAAGAGAAAAGATCCCGAAAGTAAACAACTCGCGCACTCTCTCCAAATAGTCTCCTCAATTAGAATCCCGCCGCCCTGGAACAAACCCAACCGTACATTCATCCTGAAGGGCAATACCTAGGCTTATTACGGTCCCCAACTTTTGAATCACAGATGGCTATAAGCTTATACAGGTCTCCTTTGGCCACATCCCAGTGCGCAGATACTGACCCACAGATCTCCCTAAGCTTATCGAGGTCCGCCTGGGTGGCATTCAGCTCGACACGGGCAGCGTTACGCTCTCTAAGAGCGGCATCTCGGTCTTCCAAGGCTTTGTCAAGCTCGGCACGGGCCTTCTCACACTCCATACGGGCTGTAACAAAGCGGGCGTCAAGCTTGGCACACCAATCCTCTAACGGAAGCAGTGCACAGCGCAGCTTATCTAGTTCTGCCTCCACATTACTATCTCTGTTTGTCTGAGAGGAACTGTGACTGACAGATCCCAGGCGAGAAGACGGCGGCGATGGGATTGCTAGTTCAGATTTGGATCTGTGCTGCTGAATTCCCATTGGCTGTTGGCCTGGAACCTGGGGATCTTGGACCTGTCTTTCGACCTGTAATTGACCAGCCAACAAGTCAGTAGTTGTCTATGATGGGAAGCGCTCAGCAGAGGAGGGCGGTCCACGTACTTCTGTAACTTCACCCTCATCATACATGATCTCAATTGCACCATCACTTGTCTCTTCTGAAGATGAATCATTGTCTCTACCCGCACCGCTGCTGTCGACCTGGTTCCGCTTGTTTTCCCCCTCGATGATCCCGCGTAAACGTCTATGAGGGCTACCAGGCTTAGGTTGGGCAACCACCTCGATGCATCGCATCACAAAGTCAGCAGGCTCGGTAACATCCTTAGTTGGTTGTGCCACACTCACCTGCCCAGTGTCCGCCCTCACGATTTGTTCCTGGGGCTCCCGCTCAGAGACCAAGCGTTGGCGTTTTACTCCGGCGGCCTGCGGATTCGAAAACATCTTTTGGGCACTCCACCCGGACATGATTTTGCTGATAAAATTCTTCGAAATGACGTTTTGATGTCTGAAATGTGAGGTGGAAGATTGAGGAGGAAAACGAGAGCTTGAGCTTGGGCAGTTCGAGGAAGCGTGAACCCCAATTTAAAGTGTGCTTTTTCAGTTCGATTGCGTTCCAAGGTTTTCTTCTTGCTCGGCTAATACAGATCGCAAGACGCCATGAGACGCGTCAAGGTCACCAGATGTGGCCCAAAGCAGGCCGGTTGAAGGAGGTCTGGACAGGGATAGGCTGGCCAACATTGCTTACTCTGTCCGGCGGCGTGCAGTCGTTTGCTAGTTCATCAGTGGCAGTTGACACATCAATCTGCGCTCAAAATCATGGGATGCTTCAAGTGAGCGTGGGAGCAGGACGTACATTATTGGCTATGGCTGGTTTCTGATAGGCATCGACTGCCCGGGATCTGTAGCGGTGAATTATTGGGCTCAGTAGTTGAGCGCGGAGAAGCGATGAGCATTGGAGATGCTTCGCTTCTGAGGATACAGGTCATTTGTTCATGGTATTTCTGAGATGACTTTTTCGAACGGTCCAATACAAAAAAGCAGTTCAAAGGTTTTTTTGGTTGGACAGGGATCTCTCGTATGCAGACTCATATCTCTCGCATATTGGTCGTGGCTGTGAACTTGAAACAATAGCTGCAGAGTGGGCTTATCAGCTGCTCTTCCTGCATTGGGAATTTCTTGTACTCATGGCAGATTGCCTCTCAACTCCTCTGGACCACTACGTCATCCGGGGCCTCATCAGGAATCATCTTTTTGAGTCCTTCTCGCCCGTTGCCAACATGGTCGAACCCATTCATCTTTATTGAGCGTTTGACGAAGACTATCCTCAGCTTTCCTCAACCTCCTCGCGGTTCTTGACCGTTGATTGAGCCCATAGCATTGGGGGGTCCGTGTGCAAAGAGCCGGGGTGACCATGGCTTTACAAGCGCCAATCTAAAAAGTCTTTGACTGCCTTGGTTGGTCTGTTGTCTTTGCTCCACAAGCCTAGATTTGGGGTTGATCCTCACACCGACGCAGTTTGCCTCCATAGGTTGATATAGAACGAATCTTCCAGCCGCACCCGATCGCCCCCACCGTCTTCCCAGATGGACAGGTCACAGTTCCACCATTGGCAGCAGTATTGTGAGTAGCTTCTGCTTCGGGTTCACTGCAGGCGTTCCGTCGAAGCCCCGCGGGTACGATCGAGTCTGGACCTCACAACACCTCTTCCACCCATTTCCCATTGGCTATGAAAACTCGCAAGAACCGAGAGACAGGATGGACACTCCGCAGGCTTCCACGCCACCAGGGCTGGCTGTGAGAGTTCAACATCGCGGGGCCTCCCGGAGACGGTCTGGTCTTGGTTCTAGACCGTGACTGCCCAGCCTCCAATCCCGACGGATTCCGCCAGAGTTCTATTTCGCAGTGAGGAAAAAAGCGGGACAAAAGACACTCCTACCTTGGGCCAATAGCAGATCCCGGCGGCCTTTGCTCCGTACGTAGGTGTGCGTGAATGACGGAACGGGCGTTTCAGTGTTCGTGGTTCAGCACCGGTCCCCAATCCTGGACTCAACTCACGCCGTGCTAGATCTTAGCTGAGTTCGCCAGTCAAACTCAGTGCGCTCGCTAGATGCCCAATGTAGCTCTGGTCAAGGCTTCTGAGATAAATTATGCCAAAACAATCTGACCACGCCGGCGGATGGCCCGTAATGAATGGGTTATTCTAAACAATGACATCTTTATCTCTTGTACGACGCATTGGCTTGGTGACTGTTGACCTGGTAAATTACCAAGTCCTGACCCCTAATCGTCTCCGATTTGTATGCCTGTATTTGATCTACAAAAGATATACCTAGGGAGGTATCACGGACTGCAGGACCGGCGGGAATGTGCGAGCCTTGCCAAAAGTTCCACCCCCGGCTGCTGCCGCCCGGTACCATCTGTCCTTGCATATTCTCTGTTTGTGGGAGTCTCCATCACAAGCGTATCACTGGATGTGTGGCTCTGATTGATCGGGATCATGGGCCGGTACTTCGTTTTCTCCTTCAACTGAATGGTCCTTTCATCCAGCGTCTCCTCAACCAATTTCTGGGCTACGGCTACTGAGTGGATATGCTTGCCATAATGCCAGCGGCAGAAGCGACGTAATCAGAATGCTGTACGCGGTGAGCGGGGTCTACGCCCATTGAGACGTTGCCTTTGTGTCCTGCCCTGGCGGTGGCTCGGGCAACCTGTAAGACGAAATGTCTCGATGTTCTCTTCTGATGATGAAGCTGTGGACAATGAGATCTGACTAATGAGATTCGAGGATTCTCAGCCTCGTTGGATGACTGGATGACTGAAAGGATCAATTTGATTGGAGATCTGTAGCTACACGCTGCCTGAGGCCTCCCTACATAGACCTCGCCTGGTCGCCTTAGGCCTTACAGTAAACCAATTGCCGTAAGCTACTCCTAACTAGGAAATAAGCACTGCTCGGACTTCTCGGTGGCTACGCCTTTTATGGTCATAATTCAACTGTTTGGGGGCGATGGTTTGTACTGTCCTGCCGCCGGATCGGCGCCTAGACCCCTGTGGTCGGCGACACAGATCACTGGGGATCACACCCGGCGCCAGGTCAAGGCGTGAATAGCGATTCGTGGTGGTGGTGAGGTTTACCAACCTATGAGATCACGGGTCAGGCCACTGTCGGCATACCTGGTTCGAGGTGACGTTGCCCGGAGTATATGGTAGTCAATATCAACACTTCATTGTCGCCATTTTGATCACTAGAGACTGAGCTACGAGCTACGCTTGATATGGGAGCCGCAGTGGAAGCGTCTCGTCGGCGGCGGAAACATGTCGGAGAGCATCCCATGAGTCAGAACGGGCGGCACCGCCATTCGTACATCGGTGGCCCTTTCAGCGGTTCCCACTCGAGAAAGACTGCCCAGATGACTTCGCATCTCCATGTCGCCGACCGTTAATATTTCTCTGTCCTATGGCACAATCCTGAGGTGGAAAAGTGTCCGGAGCAGTGGGTGGACGGAACATACCGACGGCTGGGGCTGTGACCGCGCCTCTGATGACAGCCTGCCCATGTATGAATCAGCATAGAGCATGGATATCAAGGCTGGAGGTCCTCTATACATCCCTGATTAATCCGCTATGCCGAGGTTATCAGAGGTGCTACGAGACTAACGCATAGCCGGGAAATGATGCCCTGAGCAATATATATATACTTGTTTAGCATGTGTCCATTTCACTAAAAGCCGCTGTCTACGGTAGACATGCATTGTAGTCTACATTGTTCATGAACTCCCAGAAGAACACTAGCAGTCTAATTCAGGTGTAAAGGCAACATACACATCAGATTTCGGATTGGCATTGCGTACGGTTGAAGTTTGACGCGGACGGCGTGGGAAGACACGCATCCATGAGTCATCGACATCCATCGAGACACGCGAACCCCATATGACAGATGAGGCCGTAGAATAAATCGAGGAAAATCGCGGACGTCACATAGGTATGACACTCTTCGATCTGCCCCGACCTTGTCCGAGACGTGCGCTCGTAAAACTGCCCTCGCGAGGTCGTTCCGGCAAAGACTCCACCTGCAGCTTCCGGTAAAGACTTCCTCGCAGAGCCGTCAGCAACGGCACCGAACTGAGATTGCCGAATGGGCTTCTCCCGGGAGTTGTTATCAAGTTGTCCTCGCCATGTAGACTTTGTCTCGCCCACTGCCCTTGCTAGATTGCGTCAGGTAGATCGCCGGACATCGGGAGCAGGTATGGGTATATTTGGCGCAGGCGGAGGTTGCAATCCCTTGGAAGCGCGGAGGTCGTGTGGCTAAGACCTCGCGCACAGCGTGGGCAGAGGCAGGGCATGGCGTCGGGGCCACCAAGCCATTCCCTTCCTGTCCCGCGCTGCGATCGCTCCCGGTGTATTTCCCAGTGCGACAAGGGCGATGCTATTGGGGCGCGGGGTATGGCGGCAAGCTTTTGGGGTGGGATGGGTCATGGATCGAAGGGGTTGAGGACGGCTTGAATCATGGGTACGTACTGTCAAGGCGCGAGTGATTGTTAGCCCGAGGGTTCCACGAGAGGAGTGCAGTTGCTTAACTTCAAAACGGAGAGGCAGGGTACATGAAGTAGAAGCGTTAAGGAGTGCACATACCTTGCTTTCCGAACGATCAACCCAACTCTCACACATGGAATCCGATTGTCCGCGGCTGGAGCTCGGGTTGGGGAGAAGCCCACGGGTGTAGGGAAGGCAACGGAGAACCGGAGGTGAAGGAAGATCGACAGCAGGAGCTCCGAAGGAGAAGAAAGTCCGTTCAGATACAGCTGGTCGGATTAGAACTCCGCTAATTCCATATGACGGATGTTGTTGAGTATAGTCGCCCTCTCCGGCGCGCGCAAGGGCGACGACGGCTTGAACGATGGGTTATCATATTCGGAGATCGGCAAGGCTCGACTTATGTAGCGAATTCAGCCGATCTTGGAGGGCTCTTTGGGGATATTGAGGGGCGAAGGGTGTTGTTGGGAGCGGTGGCTGGGTTGAAAAATCGAACAAAATGTGGTCTCGTGGTCTTCCAAAATTGTGTCTTGGTCTGAGGGCGAGTAATGTGGGTGGGATATATATCCATCAACCGATGACGCATTGAGGAACCGATATCTGCGTACTTCATGCTGCTACCATAGCAACAGCAAGAAGTTTTCCAAAAGGGCCAATTACTCTGCTCGGTCTTCTTCCCGCCCCGGATAGGCCGATCCAACATCCCGCAACAGCAAAGCAGGTGAAAGCCACCCCAGGCCAGGTGGCGGATCTCCAGTGAAGGAGAAAAGAGGTCTAAACCAATAAGAATCATGGGGAATGTGAATGCGAGTTCAAACCTTATTGAGCTGCTACTGCTGCTCAACTTCTCTGGGCTCTAAAGATATGCCAATCACGCAGCTATAGTGGGCAAGGGGAACTCAGGTAAGCAGCGTATGTCCATACGAATTCTA